TTTTCTCTCTCCGTTGAAACACAAAGGAAAAAAATGCTGAAACTTTTTTCCCAAAGAAAAATAAATAAATAGAAATAAAACGATATATAAAAAACTAAGAATCTGAAAGAGTGAAAAAAAAATCTTTTTTTATTGGGAGCCATGTGCGTGTCTTACTTTGTTGTTTGGTCTTGTACTTATATATTTGCTAAAACAAACACATACTCCATACATACATGTCTTCGCGCTAGCTCGATTTGACACATTGATTGATTATGGAACCAATTGGAAATAACTAACAAAAACAACAAAAACAACAACAACAACAGGCAACAAAATGCATAGATTATATACATCGAATTTTGTTGTTTTTGTTTTTATTATTATTATATTTATCTAAGTGTTCAACGTGTAGATTAAAAGAGAAAAAAAAGAAGAGAGAGAGACCTTAAGGTAGAAAAGCATATTATCATCCAAAGCAATAGAAAAAAAGAAATTCTTCTTCATTCTTAGGAATTTATTCACACAGACAGTGCTGAATATTACAGTTTTTTACTGCAGAACATTATTATTAGTTTAGATGTTAATAATAATGATAATAATAATAATAATAATAATAATAATAATAATAATAATAATAATCATTATTATTATGATGTCGATAGGAAAACAATCAATAATCAATATCTATCATTGAACACTTTTTTCCCTCTCTTACTTAGTAATGAAAAAGTATTGAAAAGATTTGATTAATNAATAATAATAATAATAATAATAATAATAATAATAATAATAATAATAATAATCATTATTATTATGATGTCGATAGGAAAACAATCAATAATCAATATCTATCATTGAACACTTTTTTTTTCTCTTTTACTTAGTAATGAAAAAGTATTGAAAAGATTTGATTAATTGATTTAATAAATAGATTGAACAGACCTTTTTATTTTTTTATTTTTTGATCATCCAGACAATTTGAAGAATATAATCCAGATTCGAGAATTTTTATTTTTCAAATTTCATACACCAAATTAGTTATGTTTTAATAGTTGTTACGAGATGAAATCTAAATGACAATTACCGGTTATCATTAATGATGATTATCATTTTTGTATCATATTTTGATAATGTTTTTTTTTGTTTTGTTTTGTTTCTGGTTTTGAAATTTAGTTATTGTTAACAAAAGAGATTGAGAAAAAATAAACCAATTTTCTTTGAGTATTTATTCTCTTTCTCTCTCTCTCTCTTTGCCTAGTTTGGTAATCTCATTTCTGGTTTCGAAAATAGTAGGCGGTCGATTTGGAAATATATTTTTTTTTTGCTGGTTTATTCAGTTTATTTCATTTTAATTGACTAATGAATGCCAATTAAGTGAATCCATGACGCCAAATGAAAATTCTTTTTACTGATTATTACGTTTTTCGAAATGATGATGATGATGATGATGATGATGAACACTTCTATGCAAATGAAATGATCGACCAGATAACATTAGTACATACAAAATAATATGCATAGTGTTTTGTTTTCGTTTTTTTTTTGCATCGAAAGCAAATATGCAAATATAACGGAAAAACGTGTGGAAAATGCAAAACTTGTCCATTTGTAACGCTTAAAGATTATTCAATTGAATTTGGTTTTTTGTTTTTTGGTTTTGCATATTCTATTTGAATAGAATAGGATTATTAATTTTCATCAATATGATTGATTTCATTGATAATCATGTTTATCAACACATTTTCATTGGAATTTTTGTTTTTTGTTTTTCATTTTAATTGGAATAATAATAATAATAATTTTTCGTTTGTATGACATTAATAATATCCATAATATTTGATTTGTCACATAATAACTTTTGGAAAAACATTTATTTTGGCATTGTAATTTATTTTTTTTTTTTTTTTGACCAGAAATGAAATTTGCTGTTTTCTCTTACACCTAGTTGACAAAATGTAGTCATTGTGTGTAATACACATTAATTGTGTGACAATTTTCATTTTACACCTTTTCTGTCTTTCTGTCACCCGATTCTTTATTTCGAGTAGGTAGCCAACATTTTTTTCCACAGAACTTTTTTCCCCCGTAATCAAACCAAAGAAAAAAAATCCACTATTGTACAGATCATAGTTGCCAGAAAAAAAACTTTATGATTTCAAAAAAAAAAATAATGGTAAAATGAAATTATTCACTGTGAAAGTATTTGGAGAAAAAAAAACACAAACAGGAGCCAAAAACTTTTGATTATTTTAAAATTTTTTAAAAAAAAAATGCCAAAGAATGGAATGAGAACAAAAAAAAAGTTGTAAAAATGAATTTAAAACAGTCCGAATGAATGAATGAAAGGAATGAACCACTCGTGTTTTGTAAAAGAATTTTTTTTTTGTTACAATTATTATATTCGGTTGGATACATATTGGTGTTTTTCTTCCTTTTTTGTTGTTGTTGTTACCCTCCTTTTCAACAAATTGAATGTGTCAATAAAACTTTTTTGTTGTTGTTGTTGTTCCGGTTTGCTTTCGAAATTCCAAAAGGGCCGGTTTCCATTTTTTTTTCTTTTGTTTGGTGGCTACTACAACAAGAAAAGAAAAGAGCCTTAAACGCTTTTGGGCATTCGATTGTTTTCATCATCGATATCTCAATATCGTTTTTTTTTCTCTTGTCTTTTAAGAAAATCTTAACAACGATTTTTTTTTTGGAAATGGTCAAGTTGAAAAAGTTTTTCAACAGCAGATTCCATCAGCATAAAAGAATTTTGCTTTTGTTCTTGTTATCAAATTAGCATTGATGTTGTTTGATTCAAACATGGAATTTGAAAACAAAAGAATTTTATTTTTATTTTTTTTTTTGAAAAAAAAACTTTAAAGTTGACCAGAATATAAAAAATGTTCATAAAACAATGCTGATTTGTATGATTATTGTATGAATTTTTTGTTTTTTTGTTTTTACAAATTCATAATCATACAGAATTTTTTTTTCATTTCAGCATTTTTGTGTCTGAAACTTTTAACGCTCAAAATGAAATTCCGTATTCAATGTACCAAAAAAAAACAACAACAATATAAGAAGAACATTTTTTTTTCTTTTCAAACATCAAACATCTATCCGGTTTTCATTTTGTTTGGCAGTGAAAAAAAATGAAACCCAAAATGTATAAGCCATACATATATTTTGAGTTCAGTTTGTTTTTGTTTGCAAAAACGTTTAGATAACAAGATTTTGTTATTGTTGTCGTTGTTGTTATTTGAACAAAACCACAAATGTTTCAAACAAATAAACAAACATTTGAAACTAAGTATGAATATAATATATAGTTCAACCAAACAAACAACAACACAACAAGTGATGAAGGGAAAAAAATGGTGAACAAAAAAAATTCACCAAGAATCGATTTATCGATGTATTTTATTTTGAAATGTGTTTGAAATGACTTTTTCTTTTTCTTTTTTTTGTTCCTGGTCATTGTATGAAAATGAGTGAACTTTTTTTTTCTTATATGGAAAAAAATATCACTTTTGAATTGAAATCAAAAAAAAAGGGAATGGGCCGGAAATCTAGAAAGAATATTCTTTTTCTTTTTCTTTTTTTCACTGACAATTTTTTCTTTTTAAGATCGAATGTTGAATCTATTCTTTCTCTCTCTATCTATCTTTTTATCTATCTATCTGACTATATCATTGAATTTTATTATGCAATCCCATCATCACAACTCTTATTCGGTATGTAATTCTATTTAGTTCAGCATCAGTTTTTTTTATTATTATTTATCATGAATGATATACACTTGGGAGATAAACAAAAAAAAAAGATGAAAAAGAAGAAGAAAATAACTATTTTGTCATTCAAATGGATATAATGTTTGTCTCTCTAGTTGTTTGTATCAACAACAACAACAACAACAACAATAAGAATAAGAATTGAATCAATCCGGAACAGATAGACAAGATGTGATAGTCATGATTTTTTTATCATGGTTCAAATTCAAAAAAAAAAAAAAAAATAGAAAATTCTGTTTCACAATTTACTTCTTTTTTTTCTTTAACACTCTTTTGATTGAAAATGTCCAATGTCTTTGGAGAATTCAGAAATGTTATTTTCTTCATTTCATCATTCCAATTTTTTTTATATTTATTTATTTTTAAACACAATGATTCTTGATGTAACAAGATAAACATACCGAAGGTAAATGATAAAATGAATGTATAGTATCTAAAGTTAGTGGAAAAATAAACTAAGTTTTCATTTCATTTCATTTTTTTTGTTTGTTTGAATTTTCAGGATTCGATTGCTGTTTCAAAATCTTCAGTGCCTTTTTGATTCTCAAAAAAAAACACCGTCATAACCATAATGATGATGATTACTGAATAAGTATTTCTTACAAATAATCAAAGCTGCCAATTGTACCACTTATCAACAATAAAAAAAACCAACAATAAAAAAGAATTGAAAAAAATTCTATAATGTTATTATCGAATCAAAAACAATCACGGCAAATAATTGTTCTAAATGAAACAAATGATTTATCTTCAAAAACGATTGATTTATCATCATTATCATCGAAGACGACAACGATGGAAAAAAGAACATCGAGAAAAAAACGAAAGAAATTGAAAACAAGTTCAAGATCATCATCATTAACAAAACTATCATTAAATAATCATTATTATTATCACCATAATCATCAACTAGGATTTAATAATATCTCAATGCTGCCTTATAACATCAATGATGATGTTGATGTTGATGATGATGATGATTCGTTCGGAATATTTTGTTGTGAAATCTTTTTTTTGAAAATGAAAAATTTTGTCAATCATGCCTTTAGGACGTTATTATTATTATTATTATTATCATCATCATCATTATTACGATTTTTATTGAATATTCGAAAAAATGATCATTGTCGATGTCGATTTTTAAAATCATCTTCGTTTAAACCTACCATAAATATGATGATGATAGCGATAAATTTATTGATCATAAGAATTGTATATATAATCATATGGATCATTATTGTTAAACATCAATTTCAAATGTCTCAAACTTTGGCCGTTTCATCATCATCATCATCATCATCATCATCATCAGTATCATCATTATCATTAACACAATCACAATCACAATCATCATCTTTCAATGTATTGAATCCATTTTTGAATCCATCCTCTTCGTCGTCATCTTCATCATCATCATCATCATCATCATCATCATCAACAATGTCATCATCCACCAGACAAGTTCGCATTGGTAAGTTAAAATCATCATTGTTTTTTTGTTTGTTTGTTTGTTTTTTTCCTATTTTTTTTTTATTAACCTAACGATCGATGTCCAAGAGTATACGATAAGCGGAAATGACCATACATATATGAATATGAAAAGATTAGTTTAGGTGGCTGAGAATTTTTGCCTTTTGTTGTTTTTTTTACAGTGTGTAATGCCGGAAACAACAAACAAAATGGCGTTATTTCGACAAGTCTTGTTTTTTTAACTAGCATTCGGTTTTCCATTAAAAAAAACCCAGTTGTTAAATGTTATGAATTATTCGATCCAAACAAATTAGTTTGATAATGATTTTCTAACAACAATAACAATTTTTTTTTTGCAGACAAAACAATTTAGTATCGGTATAGCAAAAGGCCATCCAGATATGACAACAACAGCAACATGAAAAAAAGATAAGACAAAAGCAATCAGAATGTTGAATGTATAATGACCGTGTATGCTCATCATAATCATCATCATCATTGTTTTCCATATAGAGCCATTAGTAGTAATTTGCTGGCTTCATTTTGATTTCATTTTTCAACTTTTTCTTTTTCTTTTTTTCTTTCTTCTTCTGTATATTCTCATCAAATTGAATGAAAGGATTCTCTGTGTGTAAAGATAAGGCACGGTGTTTCCATACATTTTTTTTCTGTTTCCACTCAAATCCTAAAATCGAAACATAATAAATCTCATTCGCTCTTTTTCTTCATTTATATCCTTACTTGATTCTTAACTTTTATTTTTATTTTTTTCATTTTAGTTACCCCGACTAATTTTATTCGGTGCTTACTTTTATTTTTATATAGATATATTTTTCTTTGACTTGCTTCCTTTGCTTAAAGGTTATATGATTTATGGCGATTTACAACAAATACCAACGATGACGATGAGTTTGTGTTTATAAGTCTTTGTATAATAATAGATTGTTATAATGAAAAATTTCTGCAAAGATTTGACCAAAAAAAAAAAATATATAAAGGAAAAATGAACTTCCTTGTGTTTGTTATTTGCGTTTCCAAAAAAACGGTAGTCAAATAAATGAAAACGAAAAAAAAACGAATGAATCTTTATCAAATGACAATGAATGAAGAAATCATTCTTAGCGAATCTTACTTATTTACTTTCCTTTTTTTTTCTCGTTTATTTTTGCTGTTGTTGTTCATTAACTATGATGAGCAACCGGAAATAGGAAAATTTATTTGAAATATAAGCATGAATGTATCATGTTTTCAATTTTGTCATTTTGAAATTTTCCTTGAAATGTTTGTTTGTGAAAAAATGTGAATCAAAAAAATAGTCGAGGAAAAAACGTGCATATTGTATCAAACAAACATATTAAAGTGTGAACCATCAATTCGCGAAAAACTTTGCATTATCATTTTTACATATTTTCAGTATTATAACCCGAATAAAATACAAAAAACAACAAACAAATTTCTTCTTTTTTTTCAATACGCTAACCTCTTTCGCTTTCGCTTTTCAGATCATTTGCTACACTATGATGATGGTGATAATAATAATCACTATTGTTTTGCATACAATTCATCATCATAAAATGTATTATCATTTCCGTTCAATACTTACATTACATAGATATTTGATTTCTTACTTTTTTTTTCTTGATTCTAGCGAATGAATGATATATATTGATGGCATCATTTATTTATTTTTTTTTGTTTTTTGGAATCCTGGATTCATAGATTTAATAATATAGAAAATGGAATGATATTCAATGAATATTACATTGCTTTTTTTCTTTGTTTCACTGTTAGTCTCGAGTTTTTTCTTTTCTTTTTCTTTCGAACATTCATTTTCATTTACGCCTTTCGTTTTTTTCACATACTTATTCCGTCAACAGGCAAATGGATACATAATGTGTGTGTGTGTGTGTTTATGAACCAAAATATGCAAAGAAAAAAAAACCTTTTGTTTTGTTGAAAAACTTTCAATACATTTTGTTTCTGTCTCAAGATAATGAAAAATTTGTTGAGATGATAATAATAATAATAATGATAATTTATTCCAAATTGTTAGAATTGTTAAAATGGCGACATTAAACAAATATTAAATACATGGAATATTTCTTTACTGAAAAACAAAACAAAACAAACAACAAATTCAATGAAATAATATAACTGGATGATAGTGATTCGTTCATTTTTCCATATAGCTACTACTGTTTAACATTATACTAATGATTAAAGCGTCGGAAGTAATCGTTTACTGAAGTTACAATTTTTGGTTATTTGAAGAGATTATCATTAATATGATGATGACATTATATATATGTTGAATGGAATGATGATCATTTTTCTTTATTTTATTAATAAGTTTCACGTATTATGTTTGAGCATGTTTTCTTCTTGTCTATATTCTTGTTTAATTTCATTTTCTTTGAAAAATTTACATATAATGATTGAACGAATAATGTTTATTCATAATGATTTATATGAAAAAAATAATATAAAACAACAAACTTTGAAAAGAGCTACCAATAAATTTCTGGGTCATATCGACATTAATCTTTCCAATATTTCGACATTTGCTATATGATCATTTTTTTTAATATCAAACCAATGAAAATCCTTATGGCTTAAAAATGTTTTTTTTGAAGTAATATCCCTGTGACTGACGACGGTCAACAATGTTTACTTTTTTCCTTTTTTCTCTCTTTGGGTATCTTATAAATGTTTACTTTGTTATCAACTAAATAATGATAATGAAGAAAAAATCTTGAATCCAGATTAATCATGTCAACACAAAATAAAATATCTATGATGTTGATAGCCACTAAAACTCATTATGACTTTTCTTTGATCATTTAGAGAATTTTATTTATTCTTCAAATTCTCTATAAACTAACCAGCAGGTTTTTAATGTTATTTAAGAATTATTCACTTACCTGTTTGTCATCATAGAAAATATGTTTATCACTGTGACAAAACACACAATGAATTGCAATTGTATACAAATACAAAAAAAATAAAAACTATCGATTTATTTTGCCCTAGATTCTTGACCAACTTGACAAATTTTTATGGTTGTCATTCATTCTTATTGTTGTTTGTTCCATTATTGATGATGATGATGATCATCATCATCGTTTGTTTTTGTTTTTTTTTTGTTTTGCTGAACAAAAAAAAACTTTGTCATCAAATGCTAATGTTGAAATAATAATATCATCCTTCCATACACCCCATATTTTCTATCGCTTGTGAATACATATCAACCCGGAATATAACAACAAAAGAATCTTCAATTCATCATCATCATTGAACAATTGAATTCGAATACAAAGTAATGTAAAGTTGAAATCAACTTTTTTTTTTGTTGAAGAAAAATGGAAAACAAACTTTTTTCGCTGGACAACAACAACAACAAAAACCGATTCAATATGAATGAATGAATTTGGTGGCCGGCTGGACAATGCTGAAGTCAGCAGCCTTTTGCATATGATGATGATGATCAAATTGATGATATTGTATATACGCAGCGTTGATCTGGAATCGTTGAGGAAAAACTTTATTCGCCGATCTTCTTTTTTTGTTGTTGTTGGAACCATCGACCGATAATAATAATAATAATTTTTTCGGGCCTATGACGAGAAAAAAAACCGCCAATATCCGGATGACTAATTTCTTTACTTTTTCATTTGTTATCCGAATTTTTTTTAACTGATCTTATCATTCACATTTCAACATTTGCAAAATATAATTTTTTTTGTGGTCGATTTTTTTTGTATCTGAGGCCTTGGTGAAAAAAACCATACCATACAATTAGGATAATTACTACTACGATATCAAATCGTTATCATTATCATTCTGATGACCATAGCAAAAAAAAATTCACATTTTTCCAGATCTACCTTTCAGTGATTTCTTTTTTTAAAAAATACACATTTTAATCTATTGATCACAAGATGGAGATAAATCAGTAAAAAAAAGCAATTTAAAAATTTTTGTGAATGATTCCGTTTCCTTCGTTTGTCAGCGACAAACGAAAAAAAGAAGATTCTGTATTCTGTTCTCTTCGATTTTGTTCTTTCACCAATGATGATGATAATAAAATTGCCAGAACAAAACGATGAATTGAGAACAAATTTTTTAATGTTGTTATAGTGAAATTGGGAGAAAAAAGATGTGCCCAAAGAGATAACCAAAACCAAGTGAAAGATGAATTCGGCGACAGAAAAATCGAAACTAAAAATCATTTTTTTTCCTTTTTTTCTTTTCGCTTGCTTGTTTGTCAGCGCAGCAGTATAAAATGTACCACAAAATGATGTTTTCTTTTTTTTCGGTTTGGTGATGATTTGTAACAAGAAAAAAAGAATCGCAAAACGACAATCGTATCCCGAAGAAGAAGGCAAAATTTGTTCAAGATCATAAATCATTTTAAATCATCATCATCATCATCATCATCATCATAATCATCATTCGCAAACAACGAACGAATGAACAAAATGAAATTTTTTTTTTGTTGAACCAATGTTCAGCAGCCGTAACAATTTTATTTTTTAACTTTTCGTTTCATTCTTGTGTGAGGGTGGATGGTCTGTAAAATTTTCAATGATGATTTCTTTTCAATTTCTTTCTGACTGCAACAAACAACCAAGGAAAAAACGGGAATTCGTAAACATCGACCATTGAAGAAATGAAATGAAATTAAAGATTTTTTTTTCGTGGTTTTGAAAAAAAATAAAGCCCAGCCAGTTGACAAAATATTATGTTATTTGATATTATTTTTTTCATCACTCTCCTGGCTAAATTTTTGTTATGTGTGTTGGTGGTGTCCATGTTGAGTGAGAAAAAGCCATAAAATACAGTTAGTTTTTTTTTGCTCTAATTCAAACAAATTAAATCTAAAAGTTTTACTATAATGACAACTACATACATACTTTTTATTTTCGACAACAATGAAACACACACACAAACAGAAACACACCAAAACATCGTTGACAAATTAAATACAGAATTTTGTTTGTT